GATGGCCTCCAACCTAGTAGCAATGGCCTCCAACCTACTAGCGATGGCCTCCACTCTAGTAGCATTGGCCTCCAACCTAATAGAGAGACAGAGAGAGAAGCAGCACAATCTGGCATTGCTTTTGTGGATTGGTCCAGTTGGTGCGTATCGGTGTCATTGTTTGGTTTTGGGAAAGCCTGCGGCAAGGTTGGAGAATGAAAGTGTGGTGTATTTGGACATCTATAGGAAGTGTACTTAGGCTCATGCAAGTCAAGGGTTCTCAAGCAGATCTTGGTGGTACATTCCAATTGGAGGGTCGATGTTCTCCCTCTTTTGGGACTTCAGAGCCTCCAAATCTTGTGAAAGACTCTTCATGTGTGACCCTTGAGCCACATCAATCAACGGTCCTTGTGGGAGCAAAATCCTGCTGGCCAGCCCAGGTCTCTTCGCTGGTGACTGCTGGCGCCTTGGCGGGGCCATTGCTGGGAGCTTCGGCTTTGGTGGTGGCCTGTTGGCCCAAGGAGAAGGAGGAAGATCCCTTCATGCGTGGCTTGGAGGCCTTGGACTTGGACGATTGAAGGTTTAAGATGCTCAATGTCAACTTGGATCCACCTCAATTCTCCGACGCTTTTTGTTCATGGTTGTCCCTTTTGTCCGATGTCCAACAACTTGCTCATAAAGAATGAATCATATTGAATCGTATCATCAGTAGATTCCATATTGGAGCTAACCAAGGCATTGAGAGCCGAGTGAAACAGCGACCAGCAATGCATTGGAAGTCGTTCGCAAAACAAAAGCATTGTTCGTTTAATTGCCTTGATTATCGGGAGATACGGGGATACCGGGATACTCATTGATTGTGTGCGAAAACAAAAGGAGCTCTGCATTTTGCAGTCATTGCTGGAAAAGTCCCAATTCCACGCGAAACATGCATCAAATATCATCAAATAGCAAATCTGCATCCTGAGAAGATCTGAACTGACCAACTTACAGAGGATCGTGCCGAGTGTGGTGCTCTTACAGGAATCGAGCACGTGCTTTGTCAACTTGAGGATGATTGATGGCAAGATGGATGAAGCACGGCAGGAGCGGCTTGCCAGTCGTCTAAAGCGCTACCTTCGGGAGTTCGCCCGTTGCACAGCAGTGCCACTCGACAGCTGTCGACAGTTGCAAAGTTGCTGAGGGTCCGGGTGAACCACTTGTTCATTTTGAGACTCCTTGTACTGTAGAAAGCTGGCTGTTCAGTGGTGTTGAATACTTCTGATGGAAGAATGAAGTCATTATAATGTGATCTCTTGCCGCTGCTGGCGTACTCAGCTCCATCCATTCCCATCCGCTCAGGTTCGCAGACATGGCCAAAAATCCGCAGGATGCATCCCACTCAGAGGCCATCGGCCACTTCAAGCAGGAGATGTCGAAAAAGACTGGCAGCGCCAGTGGCAGCGCTGTCACTGCTGCTGCCACTACTGGGAGTCTCATGCAGATGGGTGCCTCAGCCGCAGCCACAGATCAAGCACCTGTCCTCCTTTGGGGGGACAGTGGCGGGGTAGGCGGGCAAGAGGAGCCAGCTGACAAGTGTGATTTCACCCGTTCGTTTGTACCTGGTACAGCTGCCAGGGTTTAACACATACCGCAACTGGGCTCAATCGAGGGCCCTTGAGTCATTCGAATACGAAAACAAACGGATCGTCGGTACCGGAGAGTGTTTCCCAGCCCGGACTCTAACAGCGGCTCGCAGATCCAGGACGTGTTTGTTTGGCAGCTTAGCTGACCATTGTTGATTGTGTTTGGCGTTTCAGATCTTCTACCCACGGTGCCACCCCACTGGACATAAAGAGTGGTTCCTACATCTGCGCAGGAGAGACGCAGCTGGACTCCACGAAAGGAGTTCCGGGCCGGAGGGCGCGTGGAGCTCACGAACAAGAAGATCAAGAAGAAGCTGGCAGAACTCAAGGACCAGGCCAAAAAGTCTGGATCATCATCTCCAGTGAGTACTCCAGAGCATGGACGTGAACGACGTGGAAGCGTGGACCCCGGGACCACTTCGGCGTCGGAGGAGGAGAAGATGAGGATGGGGTGACAGTAATGTTCTCGCTGTGAGTGGGCTTGATGTGAACCCTTTGCCCCAGAGACCTCGGAGGTCGAGGCCTGTGAGGTGAACTTGTGCAAAAGGTATTTGAAGGCCTTCGTGGAGGCGCCTATCTTGTGGCTCAGGATTTGGGAGTGGCTGCACTACTGCAACTCCCCCTGGCGCCACAGACATCTTCAACTACTTGTACAAGACTGTGCAGAACTTGGAGGGGGGAAAAGTGGGGGAGTCCGAGACCGCGTGGCATTGGTTGCCGTTGCGGAGTGTGAGACTGCTGAGACCTCCATGGAAGGCCTGCAATCAGCTAGCCGACAGCAGAGAGGCCGCGGAAAAGCCCGACTCAAGGCTGCATTGAGCGACGATGGAGCCAATGCGCCTCAAAGCGCCTACAGCATCATGATCAGGACTGCGAAGGCTAGGCTCATGAATCAGAAGAATCAGAAGACATTACATGTGTTGGGATTGCTAACAGGGGATACAGAACACCCCCTTCTACAAGGCCACGTCGTGGAACAAGACCATTTGCGAGCGCAAGCTCGGACAACGTCAGTGACAGTTTCAGTGTTGTTTTGCAGGACACGCCCAGGCAGGGTGTGCGTAAGACGCGTGTACCGTCATCAGCTGGCCCGCATGAGGATCTTTCCACTAGATCAGGTCGAAGGTTCACGTTTGGTCAGCGCTCTGGCTTCACATACCATGACGTGATGAACAAGTACCCTGGCTATACTACCTCTAGGGAAAGGAGTAGAAGCCGCCTAGCAAGCTGTCTGACTTCTTGGATCGGGGAACGTCACACTACGAAGTCGAATGAAATGATTCCTCGAACGTTGCCATGGGAGAGACCGGAGTGTGTGAGTTTCACAGCATCGGGGCAGAAATTCATATGTAAGCGTGAAAACCTGCCTACGGTAGTGAGAAGAGGACAGAGCCATTTCCCAACAAGCCTGAGAACTGCATAGCGTGGAAGTAGCAAGTTTGTGTCTAGGACCCTTTGCAAGGAGTGTGGAACCGGTCTAAATGAAATGCCCCAAGAACAGGCAAAGCGGCTGCGCGTTGTGAACAGCGAGACTTAGGCAACGCGTGTCTGTTGAAGGTGCAGCTGAAATGTTGCAGATATTTCAGTATGAACTGGAGATGGAACTTGAGGATGACGGCATGGTCTACGACACATTACGAGAGCCTGGCAACCTGCATCAAAGCGATCAGGGAAGCACGTTTGGAAAACTGTTACATGGCCGTGGCGCAGCCTACCCAAGGTTGGCTGGAAACCAGTGTGTTGAGAGCTGTTAACGTCTGGAATGTTAAGAGTTGCAGGCGTCTGGGGTGTTTTGGGTGAAGGTCGCAATGCCACTGTTTGCAGCGACGGATGATTGCATCGAGCTGCTGAGTGAGAACTTTGCAGCAATCGGATGTGATGTTGCAAACGTATACCAAGACCGCAGGGAATATAGGATCGCGCGCTTTGACATTTGCGGGCGTGGGAATCACAAATGTTCTGCTATCGTGGAAACGCACGCCGGACGTGTGTTTTCGTTGGGCAAACTGATGGGTGAGCGCGCCATATATGGAGTAGGAGGACCAGAGTTAGCGTTGCGCAGTGTCATGGAAAGTGGCTGACTGTGCACCAACTTGTCACAGGCACTGAGCAGGTGAAATTGAGAGTGAAGACACAGATGAAATGTGATGGCTGGGGTGGGCAATCCGGATCGCAATCCAAACTGAATCATGTCCGAACTCATCTGGACATCCTGTAAAGGGATGATCAAGGCTGGTGACAAGGTTGTTGACAATCGACTTGGTTTCAAGACTGCTTTGAAGTCCAACTGAATTGAGTGCAGGGACCTGATGATTGCGAGCTTCTCGGACGATCTCACGGAGTTTGTCAACCTTGAAGAGAGTGTGCGCGGCAACACTCCAGGCCGACGCGTGCATTTGGCAAATCGTTGGAGGGCAGTGACGCGCGAGCTGCCTAGTCAAATTCAGCCAATGTCAAACCGGCACGAGGAACGCCAAGTAGATGAGACATCTCTTTGTTGCGGACTGTCATTCACTCAGCCATCATTTATATAGTGATGTGCAAAGTTCAAGATAAGCGTCTAGAAATCATAAGGCGGTCGAGCTTGAGACAAGGGGCCTGATCCCTATGTTCCGCGAACTGGGCTCAATCAAGGGCCCTTGAGTCGTTCGGATAGGAAAAACCGGATCGCGCCGAGGTTCCCTCGCAAGTAGTTGATGTAGTCAGAGGGGTAGTACATAGCTATTAATGCTATTATAAGTGGATTTGAGTAGACCGCTCCAGGCTTGGAGGCAAAAGAGCCCAGGTTTCCTGAAGAAACCCCCCCATAAGCTATGGAGAGGCTTCATATGGCTATATACAGCTTTCAGCTGATTTGCAACATAAGGGGCTGCAGACCTGCAGATACGCATGTTGGCAAGATATGCAGGGCAAGTGAAAAGATTGGATGGTTGGGATGAAGTTAGTGTCTCCGATGTTTGATTATGTTTGGTATGGCTTGGCAATGTGTGGCCACATGTTTCCAACTGAGGTGAAGATATTGTATCGAATGATCGGCATACAGCCGCATCTACGGAATCTTGGTTTAGTACCGAAAGCAACCAGCTCGTATACAATGTTTCCTGATAGGTTGCTGTTAATCCCATGTTTGCCAAACAAACGACGGACTTGCAATGGCCGGCCGCTCCGAACATTTTCGTGAATGGCACAGGTTTCGCTTGTGAGTTTTTGGAAAATAAGGCCGTTGAAGAAGGAACTGCCGAACGAATCTTTCAATCTCCACCTTGCAACTTGTTCTGGTTGGAACCGCTGGACCTGTCAGATGGTTGTAATGCGGACTTTCAAGGTGTTCTGTCTAAGGAAAAGAGAAACAAGTAGAGAAGCAGAAACAATAAGACACATACAAAAACGCTCGAAGTGTTGAATTGTTTTGGTTCGAGAGTCGTGGCTGAAAAGTTACATTTTGGGGTTTCAAAAGACCGAGGACGCCTGTGTTGTTGTCCTTGTGATCTTTGTGAGGCATGGTGCACTTGGAGCGGATCATGTCGTTGGAGAGGGACGAATGGATGACAAAGAAAGGTTCCTCCTTAGACTCTTTGCTCCGAGCTCGGATCCTCTCAGAGCAAAGTTGTGCGGAACGTTGCGGACACGGTGTTCTATTTGGATCATTGGATCCGAACGGGTTTTTGGAATGCTTTGAACTGATCCGATGGTATTCTAATGATTGTATTGTTGGATCAGGTTTCTACCCTTTGCGACCATGCACACCCAGCTGCTGGCTTTTCTCAAAGCGTTCCCGCCTGCGCAAGAGCCGAGTGCTTTGGCTGATTTGCTTTGGCTGATGGCTGAAACCTCACAAGTGTGTTCGTTTGAAGATGGTAGGTAGTCCTTGGCATGGAGTGGACCCCTGCTGCTGAAGCAGAAGCAGAGCTTTGTTTGCCTGAGGATATGATGAGTCACAAGAGCAGACATCCGCAGAGCTTTGGTTCGCAAAGCATTAGTTAAGTTTGTTCTGTTGGGATGTCAAGAGTGTTCCTACTCGACACCGCTCTTGGTGGGACTGATTCCCATTCTTAAGAACGGGCTCCATTATTTCACTTCAGTGTTTGAACCTCCTTGGGAGCTGTGTGCATCAAGAAAGGTGCGGGCATTCAAGTCACTGATGCTTTAACCCTTTGTGAGAGAAGACACATTGCCTAATACTGGAAACCCAATATTCTCTGACTTTGAGAGTTGACGATTTGCTGCCTGCTAGTTCGTGCGTGAAAGTCGCTCATCCAATGCTTTAGATGCCCGCGGGGTTCATCCCTGGAAAAGAAATCGGCCTCCGTATTCTGTAGTGTGGGCGGCTGGTCCGGGGAGAAACTCACAAAACAACGATCAAACAAGAAGAAACCGTCTAAAGGACCTACCAAAGACCGGTCTTTCTTGACTGCTGAGGAATATGCAGGGTTCCTACTGAGTGGCATTGTGGAGGCCTGGAAGGCGCAGTCCTGCCGACAGGTGGGGAAGCTTTAAAGACTTTGCTTGATGACACGGGATGCCGTCTTTGAGAAAAGAGGTATCTCAGTCTTTTAGTAATGGAGATTGGATCTTCAAGGATGGTCATTTGTCTCATTCTGTTGTGCTTCACAGGCTCTCCTAGGTCAGTTGTTGGATGTTCAAGAGTTCTGCACAGTTGAGGTGCGATTGAGGGAGTTGTTGGTGCCAACCCAGTGGCCAAAGTATGAAGTGACTGTTCTGAAACCGCACCTTGATTTGCAAGGATGATGTATTTCAGTTGCCTTCCTCATTTGCCCGGTTGAAGAATGTCAGTCAAACTAGAGACTGCATTGATGAGGCAAGATCAGCCAAATGCGGGTCTTAACTGTATCTTGGACATATTTTATGATCTAAAGGTTTTTTATTTTGCATCCATAAGAAGTTTGGATGCCTCAGGCAAAAGCCAATGCGGAAAATTGGGGTGGTGCAACTTCTGTGGTGGAGAAGGTCTTGGTGCCTGTATTCTGGCACAATTTTGGAGGTTGGCGCCTAGGGCACGCAGTTAGTTGACAACTATATAGAATATAGATGTCACCATTCAGCCCAGCCACTGCCGAATGCCACCAAGCCTTATCAGCTGAATGTTTGAGTTTGATTGATTAATGTTTCAATCTAAGACTCTAAGACGAACAGCTGGGAATGCGGCAAGCAGGAGGTTCGGGAGGTGTGACTACAGATAACCGGTACTAGAGTACTCAGTCATGTGTGCGTCTAATGGACAAATCACTGAACGATCTGAATTGACAAAGACCAACATCACACCACCCTATGCACCAAAAACAAATCCTTCAAAGTTATTGACATTCGGTGCAAAAGAATGCCCCCACTGAAGAGTTCAAACGTCGAGCTTGCACACCACAGAGACACATGGAGAGTATCAAACAGCACCCACGGCATACAGCTGGCGCCCCCCAGAAGCCAGAATGTTCATTGTAGTCTTGGGTGTCATACCTGAGCTTCTGTACACGGGAGCCGCGGAGACAGTAACCAACGTTTACCTTGCAGATTTGGTGTTTTTGGCTGATGGTCAAGACACAGAGAGAGAGAGAGAGGAAAGTAGCAATAGTGGTAGTGGAGAATGACATCCTTTCCTGCCCACGCTCTTGGGTCAAGTTCGATCCACATGCAAAACAGGATTCAACTGATTTGGCATGGTGGTGGGTCAATGGCGCAAGAAGCCCAAAATGACTTGGTCTTGTAGTCATTTGAGCTGCAAGTGCCGACCTCTCTCAACTCCTTGGTGGACAGAAGAGATGTGACGGTATGATGTCATATTATGTCATCTTTGCAAAGGGACCAATAGTTTGATCGAATGGATCAGCAAGGTAAGGGAATCACATATGATTTGCTCAAAAGTCTCTAGAAGTCTTGAGATTCGGACTCTAAAACATGGCAATGAAATCATTGCTACTTTTGGTTTGCAAGGTTTGGGTGGACAGTGGTCGGGCACATTCATGAATATACATGATTCCCAGGCTGTCAACACCAAGATCCATCCAACCCAAAGGAGCGTGTGGGATGCACGTGAGGGTTCTCGTCACTTGCCAGTCGCCCGCGGTTTGATTTGTTCCAAATAGATTCCAATCAGAACATCTCAGGAAGGCCAACTCCTTTGACAAAGTGTCGGATGTAGACCTTCCCCATCATCAAGCAAACCGAAAATGAACACTGGACAGAAGAGTCAAGTGTGACAATCGGTGTGTTATACTTCATGACTTGGTTGATGTCATGTAAGCACTCCGTCACGTGGCATAACTCTTCCTGTTTCTTTTTGCGTTTACTGGCATGCATAACTCTTCAGTGAAATTCAACAAAGTAGTGGTGCAGATTCGCAGGAGTGCCGGCGCCTAACACAAAGAGGACCCTTCTGGCGGAACTACATGGGAATCTCATCAAGCTTCGATACGTGCTTGCACATGGACTGCCAGCAGAAGGAGATCAAGTACGGTGAGGACTACAAGCGTCGCCCAGAGAAGAATGTATAATCGCATTGGCAAGTGGAAGCTGTTTGAGAATCTCACATAGAGGAAAGTCAGCTTCAGTGTTGCTCATGCATGGTACCCTACCTACCCCCTTCGGAGACTTATCATTGTCATTGAAACTGATCTGTTTTGACATGCTTTTAAGGATGCTTGGTTGCTTCATGGGGCAGCTTTCTTTTTGCTCGACTGAAGAAACATGATGTTGTACAAACTGCATTGGAAATGACTACATGGAGTTGGCAAGAGTGTGTAGCTGGGAAAGTCTTCCTGTAGCCCTACAACAGTGTTTTGATATGTTGTGATGGTATGTTTGTGAAGGTATTGACATGAAGATGCAATCAGCTAGTCTGACCGAGGTACAATGGCAACCGATTGGAGTGCTTGTCAAAAGATTTGTCAACTCGAGGACAAATGTGCCTCAGCTGCACATTCAATGTGCTTCAATTGCCTTTGTTGGTGAATTTGCAAAGCTCACTTTCCTTAGATGTCGTGGACTGGACTTTGCAGAGTTTGTGTGTTCTTGTGTACAGGCGCCTTCTTCACTTTTTGGGAAGACTATGAGCCAAACTGCTATTTGTCTCCAGTAACTGCGTACAAGTGCCTTGTCAAAGAGGAGTCTAGAGTGAACCTGACGTAATTACTGTATCCTCTTCCCCCCTGTCAGGTGAGGGTTGTTAGATTCTATGTCAGCTGGCACCCTCCTCCTCCTCCTCCTCCTCCTCCACGTCGTCCTCAACCGCGAGCCTCGGCTGGTAGTGTTCCCCGCCGGACCTCAACCGCAACTGCGAAGGTCGCGTGGCAATGTTCCCTGCCGGACCTCAACTATGAGGGTCGCGTGGTAGCATTCCCCGCCCTCAACCGCAAGTGTCGGCTGGCAGTGTTCCCCGCCGGACCTCAACCGCGAGTCCACTTGGCAGCGTACACAGCCACAAACACACAACCACAACACACAACCCCAATCACAGCACGCAACCCGAGGACTTACAAACAAAATCTAGAACCACAAAGCTCACGACCATGGCAACATGCTCCTCACCATGGCATTGAAGACAAATGATGGACATGTCATCATGGGCTTGTTCCTTGAGTTGGGGGAAGTCATGGCGCACCAGACTACATCGGAACCCATGGATGCGGCGGCTATTCCAGGAGAACGCCCAGCGAGGATTTACATCGAAAACGGCGAGTCGCTCTAGCGAGCTGAGCTCTGTTGGGACGCAGCGCAATCGCCACCAAGCACATCCCATGCCAATGACATCATGCTCACTGTTGTTCCAAGGGAACACAATGGAGCAGTGTTTCAGGTGGCGCTTCAAGCAGGTCGAGCGGCGCTTCGTTTCGAATTGATGGTGGGGGGCTACTCCAAGTAGAGCAATTACTTTTTTGATTGTGCACAGTGTCGTATGCACTTGTTTGCCACTTGTGCATTGTGTTGCTCTTGTGAACGATGACTAGGTACTTGCATACAGGATCCGTGTCAGGCCCCAAGTGCCTGCGGTGGCAATCAGCCAGTAATCTATATAAGACCTAAAAAGGAGTTCATCTCCCTTGATCTTCAAAAAGCGCCATTAAAATTGCTGAGACATGAGCTGATGAAAAGAGATGACGAGGATAAGAGTCATACGATCCTGATACGATTGTTCAGGAAATTCTTTCAGAGCTGACTGTTCAACCACCAATCCGAGGCATTGTCCCACTTTCAAGGGCCCCTCTGGCTCAGGAGATCAAGATAGTCCCTTGGAAATTCATTGCTCATGATAGTTCATGGAGTTCCTTTACCCCTTACCAGATCAAGGCAAAATAAAGGCAAATGTTGGGTGGGTGGCAGGTGCCAAATTTGTGCAGATCGTTCAATCGGTGAGGCGAAGCGGCAGATGTGGAGACTTTGCCCATGAAGGAATTTCGCCCCTGTGGTGAAAGTGCCACTTGCTTCGCACAGAAAAACCACATGGAACGGGTGGAAATCCAAAACCCGAAGAACGGAAATGGGTTGAGTTGAGATTGAGACCTGTGTTTTCTTTAAGACATTCTCTGGGAGCGATGTGAGGCCAAATCCATTTCTGATCAAGAGTTCGAGAAGCGGAGTGGCGAGATCCAAGCCACTCAAAAAGCAAAGAGTTTGTGGCTTGTGGAGTTGTTGGTGTAAGATCCAAAAAAGGTGAACAAATTTAAATTTGTATTCTTGTGTTTGGTGTCCTTTGGCCAATGGACGGCCACCCACAAGGCATACATCAGCAAGTGCTACCCATTGGTTTTCAAGGAGGCTGCTATCTAGAGGTTGCAGCTGTTTGTGTGCTTACATATTCGAAGATTTTATGTATGCCACAGCAAAACAGCCTTGGCAGGTGGTTGAAGACTTCAACCCGTTGCCTGGAAGATTTGATTTGCAATGATTGCATTGATTGTCATTTGACTCATGTCATCTGTGTATCTACGTATACAAATATACATACATAGAGAGAAACTAGTGGTTAGCTGTTAGCTATGTGATAAACAAATGCAACCTGCTCCTCGACCACAGAGCTCACGAAATGCTTGACACTCACAGCCAGACCACCCTTTTTGAATGGCAACCCAGATGATTCAATGATGCTTTGGAACTTCTTGATCACTGCTCTACCTACAGGCTCTACCTACGCTTCATTAGTGCTGCACAGGGCTTTGCTGAAAAAGCTGGATGCAGCCATGAAGGTTTGATCGGCAATGATGCTTAGATCAAGTCATTGCTGTCACTGATCGTTCCGGTCGTATGACGAGAGAACGATGCAGTTGATCATCTGCAGGCGAATCGTCATGGCATTGCGTGGTTCTTTGCAACCACGTTTTGTGTTGATTTTGATTTGCCACTAGTAGCGAACATTGCTCCTAGTAGTAAGGCCAGGAACCCCTAGTAGCGAACATTGGTCCTAGTAGCGATGCCCTTTGTTCCTAGTAGCTTCTTGTTCCTACCCCCCCGGTGATGGCCACTGAAGACTCCTGTTTGAGGAAAATGTGACCCTTATTGCGGGTGACTTGGAGATGAAGTTAGAGTCGAGAGCATTGGGGTGCGCCACAGAACTGTGGAACTGTGCAGAAGTTGTGTCCGGTTACATTCACATCTCTCAAGGACAAAATAACTTTGGCGACTTCTCGGAATGCAAATGGGGAGAGGCCGAACGGGCTTCTGTTTGGCGTGAACTCCAATCATCGTGTTCCAGGTTGAGTGACCACTGAACGTTCAAAAGAGTTGTTATACTATGGTAATGGGCAGCCTTCACCAGCTGGAACCATCTATCAATCCAGTGTATGTGCGTAATATGTGTATCCCATCAACAATGGAGCTACTTGTAAGTCAAACTCCTTGTTCAGTCCTTACACTTGCAAAGCCTTTGGACCTTTCTTTGTGCCTCGAGGGATGCTAGTTGCTGGATGGGATATTTTCAGAACTTAACACTGAGACTCCTAAAAACACGCCAGAATCAATGCTACTAGGGGCTCCTACTACTCGGAGCAAGGACGTAGTAGGGGCTCCTGGCATCGCTACTAGGAGCCAGGACGCCATCTAACAACTTAGCAGGTCAAACGAGTCAAACACCAACACCCCTGTGCTTTCAAAGGGGGTTGTCCATCTGGCCCGTCGGAAAACCGGGAGGAGTCCTCGGCACCCACGGAGCAATGGACGCCAGATGTGAAGAGACGTGAGTCGGGCATGTTGGGCCTATGGGAGTCCAAGGCGAAAGAGAATTACTGTTTTTCCCGCGGAGCGCGAAGCGGTTTCCAGTGATTCTTGGTGCTGAAGCCGGCAAAAAAGCAGTGTTTGGCGCTCCAAAAATATATATCAAATTAAGACTGACGTTTTCTTGGAGTCAGAAGTCATGGCCTCCGCCAACCCGCTAGCTTTTCAGTAGCCGAGAGGCGGAGTTGCCGGGAGGCCGTGGTGATGTTTGCAGTCATATGATCTAATGATTAACCATTGCATGTCTCAGTTAAGCATTTATATGGCGAAACTGCGACCGGTTTATGACGGGTTTATTTTGTCGACACTGGGGACAAAAGATGGAACAGTTCTTGGACATGTTCGCTGGTTGAAGCCTAGAGTTGAGCCCAGCATATCAAGCAGAAGGACGAGGACAAAGAGGACAAACAAGACGCGGAGGAGGACGAAGAAACATATTCTACAGCTAAAGATGCTAAAGCACAGCACGCACAATCAAAACAAAACAAACACAACACCACGGCTGTTCTGGTTGGAGCACTCCCAAAGCATTCCGAGTTTTGACTCTTGAACGGCTTTTTGACGTGCCTAGTGCAGGTCATGTGCAACTGGACACACCACTCACCAATTTGCCACTTATGCCATGCGGTACTGGCAGCAAAGGTTGCTTTGGGGTGGCGATACCCTCTACTCCGGGTTTAGCGATGTATCTCTTGACCTATTCTTTTCAAATCCCGTATTTTCCCTTTACGACTTCTGAAACCAGAGAAGCTGCTTCTCTGCTTGGCTGAGCGGGCGTTTAGGATTATTCAGATTGGCTGTATGGGCCCAAAAAGCAAAGGACGTCTCAGAGGTTGCCCCACGGCTCAGTGGTTTCGCCAGCCAAGCCGCGAGCAACAAGTAAACAAGATTCGAAGAACCTTTTGTTCATGTTTGTTCTTGCTTGTGTGCGTTTGGTTTGGAGTGGGAGATTGTTTGGTGGATGCACCATATGCACCATAGTTTTAATATGTTTTAATGAAACCTTTGGTGACTCCGTTTGTTTGCATGTATATAGATTTTTTACATGTGCTTGTTGCTTGCCACGATGGCAAAATGAGCTTTTGCCCTCAGTCTATCGCCATATACCAATTGCTAGGGTTTCTCCTGGATGCATGCAGTTGGTCCACTGACCGGGAGGTAAACCTGAAAAAGCAGCAAAGACTCCAGTTGTTTCCAGTGCCCGGCTCAGTAGCCTGGTGGGCTGGGCAGTTGTTTTGACAGAGACTGATCGTGCAAATGTTCAGTCCATTGAGGCACCAGAATGGTTGCATGCGCGTGGCTTCGATGCACAAGATCTTTAATCGTGGAGTTTCGTCGAGCAAGTTTGGAGCTGCCTCATTCTGATGGTTGTAAAACAGATCAATTTGCAGCCTGTGTTTGAATAGATCGACAGAAAGCTGAGGGAGTTTCTCAAAGCGACACATTTTGTTGAGTGGCCATGTAGGATGTGTAGGAGGCGAAGTAAATCTCATGCCCCATGAGCTACATGACCAAGGCCTGCCACTCTTCCAGTGTTTGGAGAAGAAGTACCCTGGATCCACAGAGGAGGGTGCCAGTGCAGCCGAGAGTCCCGATTTGGTACTCGAAGCAGTGGCGAAAGCAGCGGACACTTGGCAGTGACCAGTATGGTCAGTGAATGTGATGGTGTATCTTGTTTCGGTGAAAGCCACACAGAAAGTGAGAGTATTTTGTCAAGATCTTTATATTGCTGACGGTTCTTTCTAAGGAGAAGATTCAGGACGTGCTTCGCTGTTTTTCACTTTGGCGAGCTCACCATTGCTTGGTCATGGCTGGGGTCTCCGTCTAGTTCTAGTAGTTTGGTGGATTTGGGCATGATGTTTGTACCGTTCTTGCGTTTGCGTTCATGTCGCGCTTGTTATTTCCTTGGCAAATCCGATGCAAGCAATCCACCGAACTCCAGAAAGTTGGCATGCTATATCAGTACAATATTTGGCATTCCTGAAGCTCCTTTGGCCTTGGCCTGCAAATGATTGGCCACATGTCAGCGCTGAAGGAGGAGAAGATGCTTGAGACACAGACAGAGGCTGAGGTCCACCAAAAGTTGGAGACCCTGCAAGAAAACGAACGTTTCTTGGCAGCCATGGAGGTTTGGCCACCATAGTTTGCCATACGGATTCACATGCTGCAACACGGATTCGTTTAAGCACATTCAATGGTGCCCTCACTTGAGTCAAGTGGCCTTGTCAGCTTCACAGGAACGGGATTGGCTCAATGTATCCTGAGAGGGGTCGCAGATGAGAGGAATCTCGTTCTCTCTTTCTTGGCTCCGATTCATGGCTTGTAGCATCTAACCTGAGGTCCAACGAGCAATGGTGACTCCAATGACCAGACTGCAACATCTGAAGCAAAGTCCGAGACGATTGCATGGTGCAAAGAAAATCCTGGCCAGGCAGTCGTCGGGCTCCCAAGGGTCCACAGGGTGAAGATCCTCACTTGTGCGAAATGTTTGGGGTGGTTTCAGGTCATCTTAGGATTCAGGAACTGAAGATGGCAGGAGAAATATAACTGGAGTGTGGCATCAAGACATGTTCAACTTCTTCGACTGAGGCAATGTGCTCTCAGGTGCCAGAGGAGGCTTGCAAGATTGGCACACCAGGCAAGGGCGATGGCGAAACAAACACTGACACTTGTGCAAACAGCGCCGGACCTATGTGCCTATGCCTCGTAAAGCCTTGCATTTGCAAATAACTAGTGAACCAGCCGTAATTAACCAGCCTGTCCTTTGTGAGACAGCAAAATGAGAGTTCTCGTTGTCTGGTAAGTTTGCTGGGGTTCCCTGCAAAAAAGTAGCTGAAAAAGCAGCATGATATTTGCAAGAGTAAAGATGATATGCGCGCGTGCGGACTGCGGAGTTGAGCCTTTTGGTCAAGCTTTTGCATGTCACACTGGTGGTGACAGTTGCGATGGCACAAATGATAGCGGTCAAAATGCCAAGACAAGTATAAGTACCCCATGCCTTCTAAAGAGGTGTACTGGGTTTAGCCACAACATCATTTCGGATGTGGAGGCTATGATCTTTGCAAGGAGGTATTCCGGAGGACTGCATGGGGTTTTGCAAGTGAAATATTACAACGCAACAAGGACCATGAAGCTTGTGACAGAAGCACTTTGGTCTGAAGGATCAATGTGATTTATGATACAAAGAAAAACTCTATCGGTAGAAGGCCTTTTGCAAAGCTCCAAGTCCAGAATTCTGCCCGCACCCTGCGAGGAAGTGCGAGCAGCAGAGTCCATGTTGCACACCAGTTAAGGAAATCACCATGAGGCTTCTTGCAAGCAAAATGAAGCCGCTAGTGGCTGAGTTCAAATTATATGTGTCCTCAATATTTTGTATTTTTAAGAGGCCAAACCTCAGCTCGAACAAGAATGGCTGACAGGTGTATTGATAGGCCCAGTCAGGACTTCCGATGCTTCTTGGCTTCCACAGAGCTGCTAGCTGCTAGTAGCTGCTTGCAGGTGTGTTGCCCTTGAGGAGATCCAATCCCTTTGGAACGAGTATTCTCGGCAGCACTAGAAATTGCTGCAGTCGGCGTGGTTGTCTACTTTTGGCACAGCGATTTTCAATAATGCAAAAGGTCGACAGTTGTCAGACAGGCGTGACAGATGTGTCTTCGGAGCCCTTGAAGCTTCAGCAAAAGCGTTAAAGACCTGACCGTAATGGCATTCCATGGCATTCCAATATGGCTGACACTAAAGCTCCCACAGCTTTGATTTCTGTACAGGGACTTCGGCCTCTTTCGGTAGAGCATCAAATGTGATGGGCGCGAGTGTTTACCGAATGCCAGGCACGTTTGAAACTGCTTGCATGTTTGAGAGATTCGACTGATTGGAACTACAGAATTGATAAGTAAGAGGAATTTGTCTTTGGTTTCAGACGCCGCATTATTGACTTCGTCAATCACAGCCATCGCCAGAGTCTAAAGACTAGACCTTGCGGAAAAAACAAGCAAAAAAGAGATTTACCTGTGCAGAAAGACGCGATGCTCAGCTTTTGCAGGGCTAAACACTGTGTATGGTTACCACATGAGCCAGTTTTTGTGTTGGAGCTTGGTTTGACTCAACGCCCAGGGGTGTCTTGAGTCACCACGGCATCAGCCCTGCAAGCCAACTTGGCTCCAACATTGGCATTTGTTCGATTGCAAGAGTCACAACCGAACGTAGCAGATCAAGGCACAACAGGCACACTCATTCCAGCATTGCTATGCATGCAAGTTGAGCAGGTCAAAAGACGTTTGCAAGCGGAAGCCAAACTTGGTAATACCGCTTTCCAACGATTTGTGCTAGCGCTCACGTCCCATGGTGTTGGCCTTACTTTTCAGAGAAGGGTCCATGTAGTTTGAAGAAGTTTGAACATGAATGAACATGCAAAAGTGACATGTTTAGTGCAGCGAGCATCAGCCTCATTACATGAATACTCCGCTGCACGTCCTTTCAGGCCGGCACTGCTCACCAGCAAGACACTCAATTGTGAATGCGACAGATCTGGGATTCCCCGGGTGGGGTAGAGAAAGAGGTACAGTACCCACTACGCTGGGTGCTGGTTGTGTCCGGTTGGATATATACCTCGCTTTGGCCTGAAAGATATCAAGTGTGTTCGGATTCACCGCAAAGTCCCAGGCCTCAGTTGAGAAACCCTGGTTGGCGTCGGTGGCACGAGCTTGCGCCGTGGGCTCATGGAAGTTTGGCTATCACCGGTTGTGGGGCATGCATGGAAGTTCCTGAAGTTGTGACCTTCAAATTCATTTGCGTATTCAGGTTATCGACCGTTTTTCTTGACCGTCGTGTCTAAGTTTCCAAGCAGTTCAATTGAGCCCGCTGGTTCTAAAGCATAATGTAGCAAGATCAAGACGTTAGAGCGTCGGCCCTTCAGCCGACGAGCTCTTCCAAGGTCAAAGGAACGCAGGAAAGCACCGGGGCACAGGTTGTGAGAAAATGTTTTGTTGAGCCAAAACTATTGCATGTTGTTCTTGTTTCTTTTTCGAAGTTATCAGTTCAATTCAACTGGTGTGCATTGATTCTTGCTTGTGTTGTTATGTTGCTTGAATTACCTCGGTGAGGCTCAAAGCCCTGGGTTTCACCCCCACCCCACAAGTCCCATGCAAGTTGCTTGCTGGGGGGCATCACTCAGTCATTGGTAGTCCTTCGATGTTTGCACGCCTTCCAACCAACAGTGTCACAAAGTGCCGACATGTCTCCTGAATTGGGGCCCAAAGCAACTCCCACAACTCCCCAAAGGGGGCCCAAAGCCATCCCAGTCTGAATATTTCACTCAAGGAATGCTACAGTCTTCACCCTGAAACGCTTTCAAACCCGCTAGGAGCAAGGACGCTACTGGGGGCTCCTGGCATTATTACTAGGAGCAAGAAGCTACGAGGAGCAAAGAGCGACTATTAGAAACAAGTGCCACGCTAGTAGTAACAAGTGCCTTACTGGTAGTTACAAGAAGCTACTAGTATCAATATGCAATCATTATACACTTCTCGACGTCCCAGACGATCCTGTGTCGACGCCATGGCTTTGGCACCACCCACCGCCGATCGGGGCATTCGGGTCTCTGTGGCATCCATCGGCGTCTTACTGGCAACATGATGTGGAAATGTGTGGAGTCTGGAGAAATGTATAAACATGTGTAAACTGTAAACCATTTACACCGATCGCTATCAGGTTGGAGGCCATCGTTTGAATTTGTCTCGAGTATCGTAAGCCTTAGGTGTTGGGAATCTTGAGACCTGGAAGCCATGTTCACAGGAAGCATCTGTTCACACGTCTCAGGTGCCATCATCGAACATGCGGTGGACGCCGTGGTGGTCGCGCCGGGTGAGGCCGTCGTGCCCAATCGGAGCCGTGCAAAGCCTGCAGTGGATGTCCCCATGGGCTCCGCCAGTGGAGTGAGTGACCTGGAGAGAGACATAGAAGCCGTGAGCGACCTGGGTGAAACATGGTGAAATGGTTTTGACGCGCGGTTTTGGGAATGTGTGATTAGAATATGTCATATTACATGCGATGTGTGTCTTCAAAGTCTTCTTTCATACGAGAGACACTGCATGCATTTGAATCGGTTTACTCTGGAAGATTGGAAAGATGCCCCCAAGATACCCCAAGAATGATTGATCGGGGACTGCGCAAATTGTCGGACTTAAGTGGGCTTGACTCTTTCCATCGCTTGACCCTTTCCATCACAGCGGGTCACTTCGGATGAGTATGGGGTCACATTGGGTTGGAATATGTTGGAACATTCTTCCTGGGCATGGTGGTTGGTTTACTCCATTGCATCAAGACATTTTGGCGGCCAAGCCGCAACAACCTAAGCTTAGGGAAAATGAGAGCATGTATTTGTATACAAATCTATACAATTTTGCTCAGGCTCAGACTGAGAAATCACCATGCTGCATACTTGACCCCAAAATTCATCGGGTCCGCTTGGCTTCACAGGTATGGCAGGATCTGCTCTCGAGAAAAGATTCTCGATGCATAGCAGCAGTGCTGACAGCTTGGACTCCAGGGTGCGCCTCGCGCGTTTTTTCTACGTGGATCGGACATATCAAATCATATCAATATCTCAATCGATGTGCATGTGTTTATTTGTTTTTACTTTAGAGAGAGAGAGAGACAGTTGAGCGTTTGGTGCTGGCCACACCCCTTCTGACACATTCCACAACTAGTGCTTCCAATTTTGCATTGTTGACCCCTTTGCGTGCGATTGCACCTCTTTTGGTGAGAGAAGAGACGGATCTGCCTGATGCCCGCAGCAGGAGCATACCATGGAATGGAAGCTTCCTTCAGAGGAGCAGGTCATATTTCTTGAATGTTTGGCAAGAGCATGCAGCATGAGTTTCATTTACTAGTAGGATGTTTGGCTTTGAGAATTGCTTCTTGCCGGGAACTGACTGCTTTGCTACTCTCGCATCTCAGACGCGAGGCCTATGAGAGACTGCCATGGACCAGGGGGCGTCTCTTCAATTTTCTGGTCTCCACAGTGATCTTTATGAATACTGCCTCTTGGCAGGAAGGAGCCACCTGTGGTAGGCAGTGGAAGCTTCATCGTTTCATTCTTTGTGCCACCAAGGTGTGGCTGGGCCTAGAGACAGACACTCGGAAGCACCGAAACAGATGTGCCCCACATGTTTCGCTTGGGCTGGGCTCGTTTGTGGTGCGCAGGTTCGAACTGCCACACGAGCATTATGGAATGCAGAACCAGACATGTTTAATGAAGAAGCTTCTCTCTAAGTGGCACTCTTGCCTTCAAGCATCTTTAAGCACTCTTACCTTCAAGTGCTGGCAATGCATGTTTTTGCACTCCCATGCGACATCCTGCATAGTTTTGATGAGGTGTTGCTTTCGGTGTCTCCTCAGACCTTTAGATTCATGATCGTTTTCCATTGGGGGTTGCTTAGATTCTGAATATATGCAGTACTCGTACTACTGTATATAAACAAGATCAATTACTTTGTGTGTGCATAAGGAGACCTCCTTTGTTCTTGTTTGTAGTCCACCTTCGTGAAAGGACTCAGTTGCTCTAAGCCAAAGAGCAAATGCGGCAAACCAGAATGCGCTGTTGAAATCTTCTTGGATTGCTCTACCCTTTTCCAGAGTGTCTACTCAAGTTTCTTCAGGACCGTCACTGTCACTACTACACAGGTAGCTTCCTTTCGGAGGGAAGTTGGGAGCCACCAGGTTTGTCCTCGTCGCACTCTCCCTTGTCAGACAGAGCCAGAATTTCTCTCAGGATTTGTACGAGCCTCATATCTATCAAGATCAGATAGATCCTTGGAAGGTAGCCACGACCTTAGCTTGTTTAGAGCCCGCATATTTTCCCAGTGCCAGTGCTTGACCTATTACGCTCGTTGCATGGCAGTGTTTGCCGATGTATTTGAGTCTGAAAGACTCAACAGATCATGGATGAATGTCTCTTGTGGTTTTCACTCTAACAGCTGCATCTGCACAACAAGGGCCTAGGAGGGAGAGCGTCTAAATCGTTGTTCAGATGAAGAGCATGTGCTGAAAAGGTCAACTATGCCTTTGTGTTTTTCTTCCTTGTGGAGCTGCTGATTCGAATATATTCCAGAGCTGGGTGGCCCTTCTTTGCAGACAACTGGAACGTCTTCGTCACTTGGAAGCAAAGTGCATCTGCCAGATTCTGCCAGGCTTTTTTGATTTGACATCATTTTGCTTCATCGGCAAATATCATATATATATATATGTAATTATACATATGGTTTCATTGAATTGGCTTTGGAACGAGATTTGTTATGTGTGTTTGTTGGTTGAATTCTGCTTGTTGGATGTTGCCTTTGACATGTTCGATGCTGCTGCTGGGCAGTACGATTGGAATCCAACAGCTTGAGTAGGATCTCCCACAGCACCTGTATTGAACCTAATGATCCCGTACAGTACGAATTCAACAAAGCCAAATAGCTTCCACCTTAGTAGCTTCTTGTTACTAGTAGTAATGGCCTCCAACCTAATAGCAATGGCCTCCAACTAGTGGCTTCTTGTTCAAAAAGATAATTCCTTCTCATTCTCTGTTCTGCAGTCGATGGTGGTTTTGACATCCAAGGACTTCCTATTGGTTGTGCTGTCAATACTGGACACCTTCGTACTGGAGTATATCTCTGGCAGCACAGGCGTGCAAATTAGCGATGGCCTTTGCTAGGGATTGCTGGTTCATGCCGGTTTCAAGTCAAACACAATCAAGAAGTGCGTAAACAAACAGAATGATTGAAGCAGTGTGTGGCAAGATGCCACCTTCTATGATCAACTATAAGAGGTATGCTATATAACTGCATCTGCTGCAACCGCTTTGTGTAGATGTGCGTTTCAGTGTGAACAAGCATGCCTCTCCCAGGCAGCTTAAGTGCCTTGCGAGTCCTCAGAGTACTCCGAGTGGCGAGAGTGCTGCGACCTGCGCTTCTTCAGACCCTTATGGCTGCTGGTGATAGGCCGGGTACGAAGCTGATCACCAGCCAAAACACCGGTCTTTTCACCCATCATTTCTCCTTTCTGTTTGCCAAACATGCAGATCTCGCCAGCCCAAACAAAGCTGCGAAGCTTGCTTCCGACACTTCAGCAACATATTCAATATGCAGGTGCTGTTGACGCGATGCGAGCGTTATTGTGGGCGTGGGCAACTTGGCG